CGACCCCTCGCCTAGCCCCGCGGCAGGACCACCGACCCCGCAGGCCGGCCGGGAGGGCTCGGCTGCCCCGGCCTGCGCTTTCTCGACCCCGCTGCTCGGGAAGCGACTGGCGGGGTGGGGACGGCGCTGACTGGGCCCCGAACAGAGGGCTGCCAGCAAGGAGCAGAGCCAGCAGCGCGCCAGCCCCAGCGGGGCCGTGGAAGCTCCCTGCAGGTAGACACCGCTGTGATGTTTGGCACCTGCAGCCCCAGCAGCCAGTGTCCTCCACTGCACCCACTACAGCTGCCACACCCGCAGGCGCTTACCTCGGTTTAAGCTGTGGTCACTGTTGTGCTAGACCAAAGCAGACTAAGAAAAACTCCGATTCGGATTGCTTGATGTACAGTTGCTGCAGAACAGGGATGATAATTCCTTCCCCTGCATGAAGTACAAACTTCAATTCTAGTTACAAGCCTGATTTGTGCCAAACACTTGTTGTTGAAACAGAGCCTGGCAGAGGAGGGGGGACTTTTTTTCCTGAAGCATATGCCCAGCACAGCTTTTAAGATCATTTGATTAGGGGGAATGGATCTGGATTTTGCCCTTAACATTTATACAGCACTAGGGCCAGCTGCTGTCTAGACTTTAGCAAGGATTAAAAGGCATGTAAGAGAGAACAAGTGAAATGATAATGGCAACCCCTGGACCTGCTAGGCAATTGAGTCAGAGCATGCAAACAGCAACTGGACCAGGGATCAGCAAAAGCTGCTCATGAAATCAGGGCAGTGATTATCATCACAGCAAAGAATTCCCTCTGTGTTTCACAACTCTGCGCCAAGAAAGAACTTGTGCCACTGACAGACATCAATACTCTCATGCCCTCTAGTGCCTAATAGCAGTTAACGTGCTCAAGCCTTACTGGTGAGGTTTAGTATGCAAAAATGCTCAGATTTTTACAGTAGCACAAACCAAATAAATTGGAAGAAAACAAAACGTTTATTTCAGGAATAAAAACATACAAATGATTTAAACATGTTCAGTCCAGGAACTAACGTACTTGTGAAATTCAGACACTTTAAATTACACTTAATCGCGCCATCAGTCTATGCAGCAGAATTTTCCCTGAACCTGTTCCACCTCCTGCTAGACTTAAAATAAAAACAACCTGAGCACAGTACGTCTTCCTGTTTCACTACATACCCCTAACTATAGGAGCCCAAGGCCATGCAGCTTCTCCAGGAATAGCGGTACATGTGCTGCACTGCAACGGCAGTGCCAGACCTTCAAAAGTCTTGCTGGATGTTCTCCTTGTTTGCTTCCCCATGCTGCTGCTTAATCTGTGAGATTTCATTTTCAAGCTGCACAATAGTTCTCTCAATCTCATAGTTTTTACTAACCAGAGACACCCACCTGAAAACAAAAGATACAAAAATGCTTAAATACTGTTTCTGACTATTCTAAAAGGTTCAGCTGTTTAATTATAAGAATTATTGTTCCGAGCAGTCTTAAATCAGGCAGTTCCCCAGTGTTTAACAAGGCTGTCCAACACTAAACAGAATTAAGAAAAATTGTGTCTCTACCTCCTTTAAACCACGTCAGGTTTTACACAGCACAGAACTGGATAGGTCTCCTCCCAACACCAAAAAAAAATAAAAATCCTGCTGTCATCTTAGATGAGAAGGTATGAGAATAAATTTAAATTTGTAGGCCATTTCAGATTGCTGATATGTCCTTCTCCTTCCCACAGCTTTGCTCACAGCTTCATTCACCCACCGTTGCGTTACCCCAACGGCTATTCTGGGCGCTTCAGTTTCTGCTTATAACACATTTGCATGGTGACGACAATACTGTAAAGCACCTTAAGCCATGAAGAATATACATTTTGGGTGGGGGGAAGGCTGAATACTCACGTTGACTCCATCTCTCGTAGCTTAGACCCAGCTGTAAGTTGCATGTTTTTACGCTGCCAGTTGAGATCTTGAATGTTTTTCCTATGAGAAAACATTACAGGTTCTTTAACCACACAACTGCATTTGCCTTGCCTCCTTCCTTGAAAGTAGAAGCAGCTGCTGTACTTGGAATGCAGCCCACCACCCTCATACTGCTCATGGGAAAGGATTCCAAGTAAATCAGATGCAGAGCACCAGGCAATGAAGCACACGGCCCAGTACAGACTTGCACACATGCTAAACCTGAAAAATAAGGAAAACGTGTGCATAAAAGTCCATAAAATGAAACATCAGGCTACTGCTCATGCAAGCCAAAAGCAAAGATGGCCAAGAGCGCTAAGCTGCTCCATCCTCGTGCAGGCTACAGAGATGTTCTAAAGCACAAATACAAAATACTCTGGAATGCACGCAGACACTACTTGGAACGTTATATTTTTTACAGTATAGTTACGCAACTGTCTAACTGTTGTTGTCTGTCAAAGGCATTTTAGCCGGATTGCTAATGTGATCAATCAAATGCCAACAGATCTCCCTGTGCTTTACATACTCTTAGTGACCAATCTAGCTATCTACTCAATGCTATAGCTCCAATCAGCATGACTAGAGATCATACCCCATGGAAGCCATCACACATCCATGTATGATTTGTCAAGAAAATTGGAGTCTGGGGAAAAAAAATTCCACCAGTGCAAGCTCATCTCCACAAGCAACCAAGTTTAGCTTTTCTTCAAGAAGGACTAATTCAAACACTTAGTTTCAGGACAAGACTAGGTCCTCAACTCTACAGCCACTGCAACAGCCTAAGGATGAAGGCTATATTAAAATTTCGTCCAAGATTTAGAATGAGAATGGGAAATAGCTGTACTTACCTCAGTTTCTGCAGTTCTTTCTGGGCTTGTTCTATCATATGAACTAGATGTCTAATAGCAACATGAAAAGCATAAAAACAACATTAGGAAACACCATTAGCTCAGAAGTATAGGTGCCAGCAACTGTCTCCCTTTCATTACTCTAGACCAGGGGTGCTCAACTTCTGGCCCACAGAGCATCTGGCCTGCAGAGCTTCCCACAGGTCAGGAAATTTGGCGGCTGGGGAATAGTGGCCATTAATACCAGCACCCCTCCCCTGCTGCCAAATTCCCATGCCCCCTTCTTGCTGCACAGCTGTATTTGGGCCAGGCCACTCCTGCCAGGTGGGGCACAAGATCCAGCCCGCAGTAGCACCGGGTACTGCCCATCTGGCCCACTGGGGAAAAAGGCCGAGTAAAACTGCTTGAAAGTGAAGCAAGCAAACTGCTCATCACGGTACCCACACAGGCCAGGGTGTCCAATATTTGCAGACCTCATCTGGAACATGCATGCACATCTCATGCAACCATCTTACAGTTGTCTGCATGATTTAGAGAAACAGAACAGAAACCGACTCCAAGATCATCGATTTTAGTCCCCTGCTATTGGGCAAAACCTCATCACATAATTACTTGATCAAACTCCATCTGGAAACGCCTCTCACATTTCCTCTTAGGATTGTATTAGTACTTTCACCATCCCATCAGACCAGCAGCTCAAAGATGCTGTGCAATCAATTTACACCCCAGGGTTTCTCTTCCCCCCTGACATTTTCAACTGATGAGCTCCCAGGTTATACTGCCAAGTTTTGTTTCAAGCCTCAAGCATATGAATTTGTTTCAGTCTTAATTTACAGGCTCACAAGTATTGGGAATCCCTCCAACTTCATTGTTACTTGAATTCTGAGGATGTCCCACATTCTGCTAACTACCAGGAATGGCTCCACAGATCACAGCTGGTGAATCCCCAAGGGAAGCCATTTTCACTGGTTCCCTTGATAACTGCTCAAGATAACAAGGATTTGGATTTCCCTGGCGTAAAGGCTGTCTTCAGTGGAGTTACCGTTCTGCTAGATTTGGGGACCTTGCTGAGAGGAACGTGCACTGACAGCTGATTTCTTTTAGTCAGGCTCCCCACGCAGAACCGCCCCTGGCAAAGGTGGGCAGTGCTGGAACTTGCGAAGAAGCGTTGGAGGCACGAGTGTGCCACTCCACCGGGTGACGCGGAGACGCAAAGAGAGGATCTAGTTGATAGACCCGTGCAAGCACTGCTACAGTGTCAGCAAACAAGGTTGACCAGGTTTCCTTCACCCACCCACGCCATCCTGCTCTGGCCGTACAGTGGGTCTGAGGTATGTGCTCAAACGACTGCTAGGAAGTTGCCGTTATTCTGGTGAAGAAGCCTACATAAAAGCCGGGGGGAGCTGTAAACTGGGCTCGTTGTAGGAAAGGCCCACGTACTCATTGTACACCTTCCATGCGTTGCAGCCGTGCTGAGACATCAGCTCCAGGTTCTCGATGCGGACAGCCTGGTGCTCCAGCTGGGCCATCGAGTTGTTGACACACTCCTGCCAGGCCGTGATGTCATTTTTCTGGCCGGAGGAGGGGGCCGGCAGCTCGTACCTGCGGAGACAGCACAACACCCGGCTCCCAGCTCCAGCCTCCGCCGCCTGCTGCCCTGATACCCCCGGCCCGGCCCGGCGCGGGAAGCCGCACTCACCGCTTCATGCTGAGCAGCTCGAGGGGCTGCCGCGCCGCCAGGCGCTCGAACTCGTTGCGCATGATCTCGGTCTGCGGGAGGGATACACGGTCACGGCGGGGCAGGGGGAGGGGAAAGGGAGGGCCGGGGAAGGGGGGCGGCTCACTTCAAAGGCGCTGTAGTCGGGCGCAGGCAAATAGCTGAGGTAGTTCTTGGTGGGCCGGTAGCGCCGCGTCTCCTCCTCCACCAGCGCCGCAGCCTGCAGCGGGCACACGCACCCGGTCAGCGCCGCGCCGCCCCAGCCTCGGGTCTCCGCCCGCCCGCGACCATGCCGCCCCTGCACTCACCGCCTCCCGCACGCCCGGCGCCTCGTACCCCTGGTCGAAGTAGGGCAGCGCGTCCACCGCCACCTCCCCGGCCACCAGCCCCGGGCCCGACATGGCTCCGCTCCGCCCAGCCTCCCGCTGCGCCTGCGCCGTGACCCCGCCCTGCCGCTGCGCCTGCGCCGTGACCCCAACTCCTCTGACCACGCCTGCGCCGCCCTCCCTCGCGCCACCATCCGCCTCTCTTGCTGCACCTGCGCAGTCCGCGGCCTGCGCCCCGCCCCCCGGCCGTGCAGAGAGGGGCGGAGTCATGAGACGGGTTGAAATAGTTTTAACGAAAGTCCAAACAGCGCTTGCACGTGTGCGTGCACGTAACTGTGTGCATGTGTGCGTGCGCACATCCATATACATGTGTGCACACACGTGTCCATTCTGCACCGGCACGTGGGCCAGGCACCCAGCCCACTGGAAAGGCAGTGCGACTCCATGCCCGCATGTCCGCCTCATGCAGGTCCCTTGGTTGCAGGGAGCGCGACGGCCCGTTCGCCCGGTCCTGGGCACCCCTGGCCTTGCACCGCGGCCCCGGGTCAAGATCCAGCCTGGCTGCAGCGTCCAAGCGTGGCCCCGCACAGCAGGGCTCAGGCCTCAGCTCTCACTTCTTCTGAAGAAATTTCATTTTAGTTCCTAGAGAAGGAAAAAAAACCCAAATCAGAAGCTGCAGAGGCTCCAGCCACGGAGGTTAGCAGAAGACCAGCCCTCAAGGCTTCTCCCACCAAGGGGGGAAGCTGCCCCTGCCCTCTCCGAGCTGGCGCACGCTGTCTAGGCAGACCAGAGCTCCCCCGGCACACAGAGATGCCGAGCCTCTGGACGGTGGCCAGGGTGTAAACCAAGATGCAGGCACCCTTTGGAGGCCAGAGCCTGAGCACCACAAGCTCATGGAAACTGGGCAAAGCAGAGCGGACCTATCTTTCGGTCATATTTTATGTAATCAGCATCAACACGTGCCTTGATAGAGAAGCAAGGCAGAACATTTACCCAGACTGCGGAGAATTTTGTTCATCCCACTTCGTTCAGTCTCTGGAATTGTCTCCAAATACTCAAAGGCACGGACCTCAAACAGGCCTACGAAAGAAAGACACGATCACTGAGCCACATGCGGGGGAGTGCACAAAAAACCAGAACAGGCCACGTCATCAATCACTAGAAGATTTTAGGAGCCTACTTTAGCCCTGCTCTTCATGCACAAACTCCTGCTCACGGCATAGACAGGGAGAGGCTGCAGGCTCAGGCCCAAAAAGAAATCCTGCCATCGAGGAAGAAATTTTTGGTCAGCCAGACCACTTTTAATCTGAGAAGTAGAAACCTTAAAAAAGCTGTCAGCGTCTCATATTAGAGAGGCCAAGATGACGGTCTGCGGGGCACAGAGTACTACGTGAATCCCGACTATGAATCGGTTCCCCCTCAGGCTCATCCAAACAGACTTCTGAAAGGATTTAGAATCTGACAAAACGATCCTTTCCGAGTCCTCTGATGTAAACATTTCTCTCGTCTTTTGTACAAGTGGCCCCTGCACCAGCAAAAAGACAGGCCTTACCTTTGACCCCACTCTTGCGGAGCTCCCGGTCCTGGATGAACCCTGCAAACATCTGTGTCTCCATGAACAGGTCCAGAAAGTGGCGCACGTTGCGGGAGGTATGGGACTTCCGGAATGGCTCTCGCTGGAATACCCGCTCCCCCTTCTCCGTGACATTCATGTGCAGGGAGTAATGCCCGACAATCTCCACAAAGAACCACACAAAGGCTTCAGAGACGAGGGAGGCCAGAGTTGCATCACCTATGGGGAGAGGAAAAACAGCATCACCACTTTCCGTTGCCTGCATAGCTGGGCAGTCATTCCTACCTCCATAAAGCCCTGCACAGCGGCAGACAGCTTGTCTGAAGAGCGCTGGGTTCCTCCAGCATCATGTGCTGTTCTGACCGACCCCCATCTTGCCATGTTGCCAGAGTGCTAGCAGGGGAAGGGTGCTCCCAGACCACTGCGATGGGTTGTAATGTACAGGAATTGCAAGAGACGTACAAACCAATACCTGAACTTGACTGAATGACTCTTCTGTCAGCAGAGACCTGAGAATACCCTTCAGGACTCACTTTCTTTTATGCTCCTTTTTTGGATAAGCCAATATAAAAGCTATTTGACTCCACATAACCTCCCAGTCTGAAGTACTATCCCACTTCTCTGTTAAACAGGGAGAAGCCCATCTCTGTTTTGTGCAATTACTGAAAAGAACTGCCCCCAGAACCAGTGCTGTTACATGTGGCTCCAGCACGCCTTGGTATATTGAGATCTGACCATGAGTAAAGGAGCAGGGATTACGCTTTTGCACTAAAGCAAAAAGCATGGTCCTCAGCCCTTGCCACCATTTATCCCTGTTCAGTTAGTCTCATCTGAGCTGTAGCAAAGCCCTCAGGCTCCATAAGGCAGCAACATTTTGTCTTGAAATTACCTTGTATGTCATTCTGCTCTTGGTATAAAATTTCACTTCTCTCCTCCAAAATCTGTGTAAGTGCAGCCTGGAGTTTGGGAGGTAAGATTTCATCTTCATCCGATACCTAACCAAACAAATGGTGGTTACAGCATGTGTATGTTAGATCTTACAGGCAGACTTCTCACAAGGAATGGTCAAAGGCATGCTGGTGACGTGCCTGAATGATCAGAGCAGTTACTCTATGAAATGGTTCCGACGTGTGGGGACAGCACGTTTGTCATGTGGCCACAGAAATGAAGTGACAAGCAAAGGCAGCTAAATTCAGATTCCTACACTCACGAAGTAGTACTAAGTGAGATTTGTGCTGTCTCCTATGCCCATTATGTAGTCCCAGAAGAGAGAAGTCTAGCAGGAAGGAAAACCAAAATGACAACGTGTTGGTGAAAGACTGATCCTTTAATACCTGTGCCTACCTGCTTCCATGTATTGGCTGCAATGCAAGATAGCAAAGTGAGGCAAAGGGAAAAGACTTCTTAACTGGGAAAAGTAATAAGGTTTTACAGGAACCATGACAGAAACCAAATTGCAGAAAGGGCATTTATGAAGTGTAGCCTTGGAGAAGACTGAAGCGTGAAGAAAAATGGGCAACAGCTTTGTGATCCAAGTGGGATTGGGAACAGGAACTCCTGGTCGCCTAGCCCCATTCTTTCATTTTGAAAGTCATCCACATCTCACTGGTTCCGATTCCACTTCAGTTAAACGGTGATATAAGCCCACTTCCCGGGCCACTGGAATGCTTAGTGTGACACTCCGGAAGCGGGTGTTAGATAAGCATTATTACTGGAAAGCAAACCAGTCTGCAACACTGAATCATCTCGCGTTCTAAAATTAACAAAGAGTTCTGCGAATGCACCGGAATGATTAGATCCAAATAATGCTGCTTCATTTCTGCTTGGGAGATGGCTATGGGTGCCAAACAACAATGCCATAATGTGTTTATAGCAACTTGTCTGCCAATTACAGAGCATTGTCAGTACAAGGAGAACATTTGAGAGTAGCATAAATTACTAAGTGGGCAGTGACTTTTGCTTACTCACTCATTTGTGGAAAAATTGGGCAGAAACCTCAAGTACATGCACAGGGCAGAAAGGTGGCCAAATATAAGCAGAGAAATTATGTGGACTGGGTTGTCAGAGCACCACTCTCAGCTAGCCTGAACAGGAGGACAGTGATGCCAGGGTGACATGGAAACCCAATGTCCCCATTCTGCGCAGCCAGCACTTACAGGTGCTTGGGCCAACCTGGAACCTAGAGCCAAGGAAGCAGCAGCACCTGGGCTGAGGGACCCTGCATCCCATGCAGATCAGCCCCATCTCTCTGGCAGAGGGAAGGTGCAGACAGGACCGTGGGGCTGTGCAGACCGAGGTCAGCTCAGGCTAGTGCATGGTTTGGTGTCCTGCATGTTATCTGGTAAAGCCCAATGGGGTAACCCTTTGCCCCGCTTGCTGGGCGGCCCACAGCGATCTGAGAGACCCGTGTCACTCACCTCTTGCAGAAACCTGTCAGCACAAAGGTCAACGATCAGTACCTGGAGAAAGGAGTTCACATTAAGCATGGTCAGGCCGAGATTCTCTCTGCACCACAGCATGCCTGAGCACCGGTTGAGTCCCCAGACCCACTGCAGGTTTTATACCGTACAAAGCAAGCTGAAACGATTCAACTGACAGAAGGCTGGACACTGACAGGTGGCTGGAAAGTCACAGACTTGCTCGGAAGCATCTTGTGAGCTTATCTTACAGCTCTTGTGTTGTCAGGCCAACAGCTTTCTCTCGTCAACAGAGGAACCATCCCACCCCAGCTCTTGCATTTCCTCCACATCTCACCTCCTCCACAGGCAGATCCTGAAGCTGTGGTAGGGAGCACGAGAGAATGCCGATGAGGAATGGGGTGGGAGAGCAGACAATGTCAATCATGGGAGCTGGGAGGACAGGGATGTAGGTGTGCTGCCAGGTGAAGGGGTAAAGCATTGCAACCACAGCGTGGCCGCATTTAGACAAAGTGCTAAAGGGAGAGAAAACAAATGACAAGCTGTCAGTCCGCTCGTCAGGTGCCAGCTGCAAATGGACACAAGTGCTCAGTACTCTGGGTACGTGCAATTCCCACACAGCAAGCCGAGCAGGAATCCCCGGATCTGCAGCTTTCCTGCCTCAGTCTCACAACCCACTCCTCAAAGGGAGCACACCGCTGCTAAAGGAAATGCTTCCTTGTTTCATTCTGTTTTGATCCCAGGTCCGCTATAGCTTTTAGCGTGTTTGCACTTCAAACACGGTTCAATTCTCACGTGGAGAATACTTAACAACCCTCCAGGTCTTTCCATACACGCGTGGTCTGCAGACCTCAGAGCCACACAGGTGGCCTTCAGCGCACCCACTCTGAACACACAACTGCTTTAGAAAGACTCAAGCCTGAGTCTGTACAGAAACAGGACTGAGAAAACAGACATCTCCCTCAGAGATCAAGGCGACATCAGATTCAATTTTCACCTTAGACTGTCTGCAACAAAGATCACTCTCCTTTCCAGCAGGAGAGAGGCGCAGACGCGAATCAGGTGACAAACGCTGAGGCACTGGAACAGGCACTCAAAGTCGACATGTTCGAGCCGGGAATCCAGCGGGCGACACAGTTCAATAACCTGAGGGCAGAGCGAAGAGTAGCAGCGTTGGGCAGCGAGGTTGCGACACAGGGACAGCCGGGGGACTTGGGGACCTGTGCGACGCAGCCTCTTCTGAGCAAAGGCGAGGCAGCAGGGTCTCCGCTCACCTCTGGAGAACAGCTGGGGCAGGGGAAGGGCACCGCGCCTGTTCTTCCCTTCCCTATGTGAGCTAGAGCCATTTCTGTTGTCGTTCCTCTCCTGGTAGTAGGCTGCTACCCAGGCAAATCCTACAGCGACTTTGCCACTGTTCCCAGGCCGCCTCAGCCCCGCAGCACAGCCGGCCTACGTCTCTCTGCCCGGCTCACGAGAGCAGGAGCTTGCACACGCAGCCAGGGCCCCTCATTACCTCGTTTCCTGCTCCTGGCAGGAAGCTCTTCACAGCGATAGTACGTCCGGGAGCAGGGAAAGGCGCCTCCATGACGCTACGCATGAACGGGTGCACGAGGGCTGGGGATATCTCTCGCCTCTTCTCCACCTCATCCAGGATCTGTGGGGAAACAACTACCCATTGCTGTGCTGTGGCTTCACTGCTGCAGGGCAAGGCAGAGCAGGGGGCGGTGGGCGTCTCTACACACACGACCACAAACCCATGGCTGCAATCAGGGCTCCAGCCCATGCTCACTCTCCTGCCTTGGGCCAGGGCTCCTGCCTGAGGGTCCTCTCAAAGGCAACCACAAGGGATGGCCCCCAGCCCACTCCTATCACAGGCACCAGAGCGACCAAGGGGTCAGCATGGGGCGGGTTGTGGCTCACCTTGGAGAAGAGGTTGAAGCAGCCCAGGTGGCTCACCATGCAGTACACCTCAGGGAGCCGCTTCCCTTTCCCTTCCGGCTGCAAGACAACGGGGACATGGAGTCACGCCAGGCGCAGGGGGGAACCCAGTGCTTGCATGCAGGAGATCGACACGTTTGGCCCCTGGGACTGGATCCTGCTCCTCCAGTTCCTCGTGCTGCAGCCCCCCCCGTACCCGCTACGTAGGGGGTGGGGCATCCCAGAAACCTCCAGGTGTGGAGTGCCCCGGGGCACCGACAGCACTGTGCCCCCTCTCCCTTGTGTCACAGGAGCGGGGGGGGGGCGGGCCGGGAGCCCGAGAAGCACAACCCAGAGCAACCCGAGAGGCTGCTGCAGACCCAGGCCGGGCTGGACTGCAAAACTGCCCCTGCCCTGCTGCATCCTGGCCCTGGCAGCAGGCCCAACAGGCAGCGTCTTACCAAGAGCTTCTTGCAGTACCCGAACCAGCGGCTGCCATCCTCGCCCGTCAGCACGAAGGAGAAGGTTTCGCTGGGGAGCCCAAGGAAGTCAGTCAGGCGCCACATGGGTCAAGGGGCCAGCGGGGACTTGCAGGCAGCGGGGCTGGGTGGGGGCAGATGCGCCGCGCAGCCCACCACGCCCTGCAGCCCTGCCACTGCTAGGCAGGGCGCCCAGAAGAGGCTGCACCTTTCACAAGCAGTGGGGGCCCCCGCTCCTCTACTCTGCCCAGGAGTGAGGGCAGCAGCAGCTGCAGCCTGGAGCCAGCCCTGGGGTGCTGCACACCCTTCACAATGTACAAGGGCCCCATTGGGACAGCAGGAGGAGGATGAGAGGGCATCCGTCTGGGAGAAGAGGGGAGTGCCCCTTTCCTCACTCCCCCAACCCCCTTCCTTTGGGCTCCAGGCCTCCCAGGTCTGTGCCAGGACCATCCCACCCCATGTGGCCTCACCCTGAGGGCAGGCAAGGGCCCGAGGACTCAGCCCAGCATCAGCTCACAACGCAGCTTTTACCTTTTAAGCTCTGAAGCAGGAACCCAGTCCTTGGGATCTGGAAAGCAGAACCCAGGGATGACTTTCAGCCGCTCCTCGGTGTCCTTGGACTGCCGAAAGTGATGTTCAGGCTGAGGAGGGAACACACACACCAGTTACAGATGCCAGCGAGCTCAGGCATGCGGCTGCAAGACCTTACAGCGGGGAGCGTCTCCTCCCTGCCCTGGCACTTCAGTGCATCAACCCGTGCCTGCTGTGAGCCTGCAGAAGACACTGCTTGCATCCAGCTTCCCTGAGGCTCAAGGCACAGGTCCCCAGGGCATCTCCACGGGCTGGGTCCAGGTCTCATGTGCCCGGGACACGCTTCTCATTGCTCAGCTCCCCAAAGACACAGCTGCATTCCTGACCCCGTGCTCCCAAGCACGCAGCAGAGACTTGCCCTGGCTCACAGCTTTAGCAGAGGATGTGATTTCAAGGTGCTGCCCAGAGTGCCTTGAAATCAGCACAGGGTGTGAGGGCCATTTCAAGCTCACGGGGCTGTCTGTAGCATGAGGACCCACCTCAGGCCTGCACTGGGAAGAAGTCACCACTCATGTTAACAGACATCCTCTCCGGGGACTAGAGACCTGATCCGTCAGCCTACAGGCAGCACATCCCCACGGTCCATTTTGAAGGGGAGCACTGGGGCATCGCAACCATGGGGCAAGGAGAGCACAGACTCTCGGGGCTCAGGCCCCTCCTGTGCATCCCAGCCAGTTCCCACCAGCCCCCCCTGCCGCAGAGGCACCTCCATGCAGGACACGGACTTGCATCCTCTCTCCCCGGGACACACATTACATGTGCCAAATGGCAGCAAAGCTTATTTCAGCATCACAAGAGGAGACCGCCCCCAGAGAAGAGACCGCAAGGCAGCAGGAGTTATTTTCGCCAGACATCTGTTGCACAGGGGCTGTGCCGGACCCCAACCCACAGGCCATCGAGGGGCTGACAAGCAGATAACCAGGAAGCCATGCTATTTTTACTCTGAGGGCAAGTCTGTAATCAGCCCGCCCACGGCATAATCATGGCTCCATAATTACGGTGCAATGTTTCCTGTGGGATCCCGGCACAAAAGACCCTCCTGTGTAAATCCCTGTCACACTCAACAGCGGGGCAGAGCGGGAACAGGCAGTGAGAAAAGTCACCAGTTCTGCCGGTCTGGCGAGGAGAGCAGGAAAGCAGCCTGGCGGCGAGGCTGGACCCCATCCCGCCGGGAGGGCAGCAAGCAAGGAAGAGGCTCTCTCCCGCCTCCCACCTGTGGTCACAAGGGCCAGTGGCAGAGCGCACGGTCACATTGTGGTCTTGTAGCCTTTTAACCTTGAGCACTGGTGCTCCAGGGAGACGTGGTCACGCACGCTGTGCTGAGGCTGCGAGCTTGCTGGCAGGGTCCCTGCCTTGATCTGGAAATCCAGCACCTTTTCACCAGCGCACAACTCCACGGAAAGCCCCTCGCAGCCCTGAGGCCAGGCCCATACAGTTAAAATGGACACTGCTTTGTGGAAAGGAGACACCACATCCCAGCAACTGCCCCTAGCTCGTTGCTGAAGGAGGCTGGACGAGAGTGGCACGGTCTCGCTTCTCGGGAAGGTGCTTTGGGGGAAGCCCGTTGGGGCAAGGTGCAGCAGCAGCCGACTGCGCTGTGCCATCCAGGGCGGTGGAAACCGAACAGCTGCCCGAGAGCCCCGGCCCCCAGCAACCTGCCTCCAATTGCTTTCTCTTCACACATCTTGTGCCAACACCAACCTTGCTGTGCGCATGTCCGGACAGGCGGAGCGAAGGCCTCGATGCAATGAGCTGGGTCTGGATTGCAGCCCGAGAGCTGCCACAGGTCACCTCAGCCTTGCTCCCTTCAGCGTGCCCAAACGTGGGGGTGAAAGAACGAGAGCCCCGGGGAAGCCGTGGCGCCCTGTGTGCTCCCCGCTCAGCGGGGGGAATGCAGGGCTCTGCCACCGCCCCGCGGCTGCCTCGGCAGCGTCTCCGGGAAAACAAGCAGGAGCCTGCCTGGTGCCGACAGAAGCAACGACTTGCCCACCTCAGCCCAGCGGGATGCAGGAGGCTGGCACAGGCGCCCCTGTTTCCCAGCACGGAGCAGTGTCATCCGTGGAGGAGCACAGCAGCTGTGTTTTCAGTTCAGCCGGCCTCAGAGGCGAACCAAACCTAACCCCCCGCGGGCACGACCATCTCGCAGCAGGGAGCTTCCGCAGCAGAAGAGCCCATCCACGTGCCTCCCCCAGAACTGGTTGCCCCCCTCCCCTGGCTGCGCCAGCCTGGGGCTGGTCCCCTCCACTCCTTCCTCGGTAGGTTTCTCAGACACGCGGGCAGATGGGATCTGACGCATCACACCCCCACGGGATTACCGCGCAGCGAGACGTGCGGCGTGCCAGGCCACGCGGAGCAAGAGTCAGGACGCAGCCTGCAGCAGCACAGACCCAGCCACATCCATGCCGAGCAATGTTTAGGCTGGAAAAGGAGCCTGATAAATTATTGTTTACAGGGCAGCAACGCGAAGGCTGACGTTAGCTGCAACCTGGGTTCTTCAGGCTCTACGCAGCGGCCTTGCCCCCGCCACAGACAACTTGGCAATGACACCAAGCAGCACCAGCCCCAGAGGTGCTCAAGCTCCATCACCTGGTGAGGACCAGAGACACTGCACGCACCCATGACAGCCAGCCACGGGCCAGCTCCTCTGGACCCAATGCATTTGCTCAAACCACAAGCCGCATGGGTTCGGCCTCTGTCCCTTACAGGACTGGACACTCATGCACCTGCGCCCTCCCGAACTTCCAAAAAGCCACAGAGGAGGCAGAAGGATCCAGCACAGCAGGCTTGAAAGCATCAGGCTGAGGTGGGTCAGGCCAGGCAGCTTTCCCCAGCAAGCTGGAAGTAAGAGGTTCCCCTTTACAGAGGAAATCTAGTCCCTCTTTTCCATGGGCCACAGCTGGGGCCAGGAAGGCTCCTGTCCACAGGCCACTGAGCACCTCAGTCTTTCACCTCCATCCTCTGTGCCCCACAAGGCAGGGCAGTGTTATTATCCCCATCTCACAGCTGGGGAAGGGATTCAGCCCATCCAAAACCATAGAGGGTCTATAGCAGTGCTAAGAGCTGAACCCTAGTCTCAACTCCCAGGCCAGCGCCAGCCTCTGCAGAGCCCGGGAGGGGAGCAGCACTGGGAGGGAAAAAAATCAGGAACAGATCACGCAGGCGTAGGGAGCAGGGTGGGAGGCGGAGGCACCTGCGTGGCACCCACCTTGCTGGGGAACTGCTGTATAACCTGCGGCGTGTAGCTCGCCTCGGCCGATTTCTTCTGCAGCGACACCACCACAAAGAGCTCGAACAGCTGCTGCTCCTGGAGCTCAATCAGGTCCCGCTCCAGCGTCTGGTAGTGCGGGTTCCTCTTGGAGGCCACCTGCACCTGCAGCAGGCGCTTGTGCCGACCTGTGGGGCAGGGAGCGCTTAGCGATGCCACGCTGCGGCCAGCTGTCAGGGCAGCAGCTTTCCAGATAACGGGCAAGCGGTTCCCCGTCATGGGAAGGGACAGCAGGACTCGGCCCGAGTCTCAGGTCCCTGGGCACAGAACGGACAGAAGCGTTAGTCCTCAACGGGCAGCCACCCTCGGGCCCCTTTGTCAGACGCCTTATTGCAGCCTGGCCCCGGGAATACCGAGGGCAGCAAATCGCTGGCTGTCTGGGGCTCCTCCTGGCACAGCGGAGGTGCCCAAGTGCTTACGAGGGGCGGCTCCGAGGGACCGAACCTCACTGGTGCCCGTGCACGAGGGGGGTGTCGGGAACCCTGGCCCACCTCAGGTGCACCCACGGGGCAACGCTCTGCAGCAAGGGGCCTCGAGACTGCAGCAGGGTCTGGCTCGTGCAGCACTGCAGCAGCCAGGGGAGCTGAGAGCGCCTGGTAGCAAGACCTGCCCTGGGGGCTCCCACTGATGGCCCGGCCCAGCCCGGCTCGCTCACGCCCGGACTCACCTGCTCCAGGTCAGGCCAGAGCCTCCCCTTCCCCCTAGACATGTGTGCACACAGACCCCCTCAGCCCCAAGGCATCATCAGAACGGCAGAAACATTTTAATCAATCCAGCGTTGCTGTGGTTATGAGTGTGCCCATGCTCAGGGCTGTCGGCTAAGCTTTGCCACTCGGTGCTGGCCCCACGAACCGGGACGCTTGGACCCGAGCAAGCCGGGCCCTGAGCTCCGGCCCGGGCTGGGGAAGGCCCCCCACCCAGCTCTCCAGCGACTCCCCCCGCCACCCTCGCTGCGCCGCAGGAACGGGCCGGCTGTGGTGACTCACTCCCGCTCACCCACCTTTTGGCAGATTCTCCGAGTCACTTTCGTTCCCGCTGGTTTCACCTGAAACACACAGTTTCCATCTGCGTCAGCTGGGAGGGGGCTTCACCGCCTTTGCCGGGAGCTGCCCCAGCTCCGTCACAGACCGGGATCCTCCGTGCGTACTCGCATAAGGGACTTCCTGGGCTTGGTTTTCAGAGATGAATCCCTGCAGCCCCCGCCCCAGCGAGATACAGGGGCCTGCACAGCCGGGAGACAAACACCTGGGGCACGGTTTGCCCCTTCTCCGAGCGGCAGCGAAAACCCTCCCTGCTCCCCAGTACACGGGAACCAGGCATGCCCCTGGCTGCGGCTCTGTACCTTTGGCCGGAGGCACTTCTTTCCCTGTGCAAGGCTGCAGCTTCACCCTCTTCTTCCCGCGTTTGGAATCAAAGATCTCCTGTATCTTTAACACAAGCTGGAAGCCAAAGCAAGCAGCAGTGAGCACGGGCCACGCATCACACGAATCTGGGAGGCAGCAGAGGCCGGGGGGTCTCGTGCAGATGCAGGCATGGGCGGGAAACGCTGCCCCAAGCCCTGCATGAGGGGACTGGTCCCAGGGCCACTGCCAGTGCCCAGCACCTGGGGCCTTCAGAGTCTTACAGCAGTGCACCCGAGGGCACTACCCAGCCCCGCTTGGGCACAGGCGCTCTGTGTGCTCTGGCTGCCAAGAGGGAGAGGGCCAGGCTGCAAGGCAGGTCTGCAGTAGGAGCTAGAGCACCTGCCGCGGGACGCCCCTTGCCAAGCCCAGGCAGAGCAGGGCCCAGCGCGGCGTGGCGGACCCCCTGGACAGGACGCAGCGCTCTGGACACAGGGACAGGAGGCTATTTCCAAGGCACCAGATCACAGGCTGCTGGCCATGAGCTGGGTGAAGTCCTGGCCAGGAGGGGTACTGAGGTGCATGGATTCAGGGTGGAAAACCCTGCGGGGACTGAGCAAGTGCCTGCTGCAGGGGCTGGGCACAAGCGGAGGGGACCTGCCAGCGCTCTGGCCCCAGGGCAGCGCTCCACGGTCTTGCGGCTGCCCAAACCACATCAACTGCGGGAAATGGGTGCCAGATACGTGAAACGGCAGCCGCATTCCTGCTGGGGGGTGCGGCCCAGCCGGGGCAGGGCTGAGGCGCGCCTCCTCCCTGCGTGCCGCAGCCTGCAGGCTCCTTGCTCAGGAGCGGGCGGAGAGCAGGGAGCGAGTCAAGTTCCCGCTTGCCCCAGCTGCAGAACCTGGTCCTTGCTCCCAGGGAAGGCACCGGGCGAGGCCAGCGCTGTCCCTGCAGATAGTGCGCAGACAGACAGACAGACAGATAGATAAGCTGCCCGTCAGCTCTGGGCCGATCCCCACGCACAGGGAGCAAGGCCCAAGCTCCCCACGCTTCCTCCTCTGTCCTGATTTTCTGGAGTAGGGACAGACCTGGCTGCTGCTTGCTCCCCTCCTCCCACCCACACCGGAGGGCTGCTGCATGGCCCGGCTTGCAGCACGGGGACAGCTGCTGGGAGCCAGCAAGGGGTCTTGCCTGGCTTGAGAGGCTCCCCTTTGGGGCTGAAAGTCTCCCCCTGCCTCGAGCCTCTCCAGCAAGCCTGGCCGAGCCCGCCGAGAGAACAACGCGCGCTTCCTGCATGTAAATTGCTCCCAGATTTCTGGACCGGGCTGGGGCTCGGGGGCTGGATGTTCTTGCTCTGCAGGAAGGAGGATGCTCTCAATCGTGGCACTCGCGGGGTTGTGACCCCTCCTCCCCCACCCCCTCCTGGGCGTTGGTAACACACACAAACCCATTACACACCAGGACAGCTCAGCCCTGCTCCCGCTCCCCCACATGGCACACAACATCCGTGGTTTGTGGAGCAGGAAGTGGAGCTGGAAGGCGAGTGAGCCCGGCCAGGAGTAGAGCAGTGCCGCCCCCAGCCCACCGCAGGCGGCCCCTCCACCACGGCGGGTGCAGGGGGTTGACAGGGCCCTCGGGCACCTTCTCCCAGCCCCAGCTGGAGGTGAAGCCAGGGCAGAAGCCAGCGCCTCCCCGATCGCCTGACCTCAGAGGCATGAAGCACCCTTAGTCACGGCGGCAGGGAGTGGCAGAGGCCAGCACAAGAGCTGTACGAAACGGGCCTGTTCCTGAGGAGCTGCTCAGCCGCTCCCGCCGCCAGACAGCCACACGAGCACGGCACGGATCCCAGACCCGGCCCCTGAGCTAGAGCTGCCCCAGCTGCGCTCTCGGCAGCCCCAACCGGCTGCACTGCTGCCCACGGCTGTCCCCTGCGCCCAGCCCTACCCGCGGGCGTGGGCACCGACCGCAAGCCACTACAGCGCGGGTGGCTGATGCTGGCGCACGGATGTGCCCAGCGCAACAAGGGTGCCACCGCACGCACGGCCTAGCCGCAGAGAGCCTGACGCCCCTCCAGCCAGCACAGCGGCCCCCTGCCCGCCCCGCAACAGGGCCTCACCGGGGGAAGGTCCTTCCTCCTCCTGCTGGCAGCCTCTCCGGCTCGGAAGAGCTTCCACTCGCTCAGCGTGACGGGCAGGGTCGTGTCCTTCACCAGCTTCCCGCGCATGCAGGCGCGCGGGTTCTTCAGCTCCATGGTCTTGCGGCCGAAGAAGGGCGGCTTGGGGGGTGGCTGGGGAGAGAGCAGGGCTTCACTGGGAAGCTAAGGCCTGGGCCCTCGCTGCCAGGGGCCCAACCAGGGCGCTCCCCACCCAGCAACCCCCTCTGGCTGGCCCCACCGCCACGGACCCCCCAGCTGAGAGGGCCCGGAGCCCGGCAGGAGGCACGGGAGCCGCGGCAGACACGGGGCCGGAAGGCTCCTAACCCCCCAGGGGCCCAGTGGCCTCGCAGATGCTGTGCAGACGGCCCCCTTGCTGGCACGGAGGCCTGGGGGAGGCTGGAGCAGCCCCGCCGGCTGCCTGGCAGTTGCAGCATCAGTACGCGGCGGTGGAGCAGCACGACACCCGAGTCGCAGAGCATCTGCCCAGCCCTGAGCTCGCCGGCTTCTCGCCAGACGCACATTGGAGCTGAGCGCTGGCAAGCGTGCCAGTCCTGCCGGCTTCCCAGCCACGCTCTGGCTGCAGGAGCCGCTCCCGCTGGACCTGTGCTTCGTGGAGACTGGAAGCAGGGGCCCAGCCTTGGTGCAAACAGGCAGGCGCTGGGCTTTCCCTGGCCAGCGGCACCCTCCGGTGCTCACCTTGGGTGGCTTGTCTGTGGCCAGAGGGGGGAACAGCTTCCAGGCCGAGGGCACCCTCCACAGCGGCAGAGGCAGCGCTTTGATGTCTTCGTACGGGTTTTCTCTGGCAACATCTGGGAGAGCAGGGGACAAAGGGGATCCTCCTTGCACCCGCACGGCCCTGAGGGCCCCAGATCCCTTCCACTCCAGCACCTGCCGATGCGGGTGTCGCAGACAGGCCCCCTAGCTTGACCCGTGGCACCAGATCCTCCAACAGCTGCCCACTCTACACGCTCATCGGCACCAGCCTTGCAACGCGGCCCGGCCCTGCCCCCAAAGCTGCAAAGGCCACGTGTGTGCAGAGCTCCCTTCCTCCCCTCACCCCCACCTGTGAGCCCCGGGGGTTTGGCCCCACACCTTGATGCCCGGAGAGGACCCCCTGGCCCCCACCCTCAGGCACATACAGACAACATCCTCGTACAGGTTGTCCTCCGACTGCGTGTAGTAGAGCCTGGACCCCGCCGTGCCGTTCGTCTCCTGGGGCTTGGGGGTGCCGGCGGCCGCCCTCCGACTCCGGAAGCCCTGGACGTCCTCGAACTCGAAGGATTTCCTGCAAGGGGCCGAGAGCGTTTGCTCAGCTTGGTCTCCAGCCACACAGACCGAGTCCTGCTCCATGCCCTGTCCCCTCCCCAGGCCAGCGACACGGCAGCACCTCATGCTCCCGCCGGTCACACCACGTCCCTGGACAGGCTCCTGGAGCTGGCACAGGGGATCCCCAGCACGCACTGTCCTGGCAGAGGGTGGTGCTCCCAGCAGCAAGAGCCAGAGACTCGGGGGCTGAAGCCCTGTCTAGGACAAATGGAGGAGGACCACCCCCCCCCCACTGACAAAGGGGTTCCCCCTGGTGCTCCCGCCCCTTGAGCGGCGCCGGGAGCCACCGGTGCCTGGTGCGTGCCAGCCGCTCGTGCACATGCCAGCCTACCTCTGGGCCCGGCCACGGATTCTCCTGGGGGGGCACTGCTCGGGGTCACCGGCGGGGGGCAGCGCTGCCTCGCTGCCACGCTGCCCACCCAGCAGCTGCTCCTGGCTGGTACTGACGTCGGTGCTGGCAGTGGCGCGGGCAGCTGCATCCCGCTCCAACAGGTAGCGGAAAGTCCTGCGAGGCTTGGGTGGTGGGAGCCGGGGCGGGGGCGGGCGTGGGGCGGGGCGG